CACCCTATCAAAATATAGGGGCTTTTCACAAATATGACAATGTGTTGAGTTTTTGAAAGATATCTCTTGCTCAGGAGTCATTACCAGGGGAATATATATTGCCATTTGATTTTTAATATAATCATAAGTCTGAAATAATCTTTCAAAAAACACATCCATAACATTTGTACCACTGTACAACTCTTCAGAAATAATTTTTGAATCTTTTACTACGACAAATGCAAAACCCGATGGAGTATGTAAATTGGAGTTTATAAAGCATTCAAAATCAGCATAAATTACATATGGGGCTTTAATTTGATATTTAAAATTTTTAAATTGTAATATATCTTGTTTAGACATTTCCACTCGTTGAGCATCAAAGTTTTTACAATATGTTGTGTGACGTTCTAATATATCATTAGTGTAAAAATGTTGCAAACAAAGCTTGCAAAAATGCTTCTTATGGTCATCCTTTGTACAGTGGAACATTAACTTATCAAAATCACGAATTAAACAATAATGTGATTTACGACCTTCTTGTAATAATAATAAATCTACATGAGTATTACTATTCAGTTTAGTTGTTCTTAATGGATATATTAATTTCTGGTCTTCAACTCCAAAAACATTAACACTTATATTATTTTGTCTTTCAAATTTATCTATATCAGATATTTTTACGGGATATTTTATATTTGTCATATTTAACTGTGTTTCATAGGGTGTATAGTTAGATACCCTATTAGCACTTTCATTGATACAATTCCTTGGATATAAAGCTGCTAAAATTGACCAAAGGAAGCATTTATTATCTGAATTTTTTATATTTAAAACTGCATGTTTTGATTGAATACTTTTTGGTTTGGGGATATATGACTTTGGAGTTAGGGGCTTATACTTGTAAACATGCAGCTGCCAATACTTAGTATGGTCATATATCCAACCACTGCCTTGAGCTTGATATTTGTGAATGGATGCATCAATCTTTAAAAGTGCATTTTTAATTTGAGGCTTTAAATCTCGCTTCTCAATAGTTAAGGTAGTAAGACTTCTAAAATCCGCTATACATTCTTTTTCATTAACTAATTTTCCATTTTTATCCATTGAATATTTTATAAATTTAATTCTCCTAACTAAAGTCCATTTTATTGGCATAGGACAAGACTTAAGAGTATTTTCAAGTTCAGCTCTAATCGATTCACCAACAAATTTAATCATTGTGTATGGACATTTGTTACAGGAATTGACATGTCTTCTAAAATGTCCAACAACATTCATTTTACATAAATTACAAGTCTTGTGACTTTGTAATATATGTGATTTTAGAGCCACGTTATTATCACAGATTAAATTGCAAACTTTGCACAGTTTCACCTTCATTTGATGAATTACCTTGTAGTGGCGAATCAGGTTACTTTTGGTGGAGAGCGACACGGAGCAGTGTTGACAGGTCGGCATCACGCACGAGAATAAGGTCTTGGGCCGATGCCACCTCTATTTATAGACTTTTTGAAATTTTCAAAATTGTTTACCAGAAATTATGAAATTTTCTAAATTTTTTACTAGAAATTATAAAATTTCAAACAATTTAACTAAAAATTACTTCAACATGAGGTCTCCCAACTAGGACTAGACCACTAGAGACAAGAAGTGAGAGCAGGACCATGGGTCGGGAGCGCGCACACGCCATGAGCCGAGTTCGCGTACAAACCTCGCACTGTCAAGTTGATGATTTTGTGAATATACATGCGAATGGATATGGATTTGAAATTGTAATGGAGTTGTACAATGGTATTGAACATTTATATAGGCTTGTATAGACCGAGAGCTGGATTTTTAAAAAAGTGGTCAAAAAAAGCTCACCATGTTATTCTTATGGGGAAAACGTGCCTAAAGTGTCATAGGACCCGTATATTGCCCCTACTCTACATTTACACTTGTAAGGGTCAATAAATATAAGAAATAGCTTTTTTAGCTTAATATCGAATATATTTATGGGGAATAAGTAAGAAATAAGGTTTAACAATTATATAGGAATATTTAGGCAAAGATCAGGATTTTTGGATTTGGTGGCCAAAAAATGATCCCATGTTATTTCTTATGGGAAAACGTGCCCCAAGTGCCTTTAAACCGGTAGTTCGCCACTACTTGCATTCTATACATGAACATATGAACACTACACTTTCACTTTTCACTTTTAGTGTATGATGGAGGTTTATTAAACGAATCGAAGAGTAAAGTCGTATCATGGTTTTTGTTTATGAAGGATCCATTCAGGAAAGAAGAGAGGAATCTTACAGGGTACTCCATTATTGCGTACAAAAGTGCGCAGATAAATAGGTCTCCTTATGTTTTCTAAAACTGGTCTAGAATGGCTTAAATCAATTTTGAGTTCTACAGAGTGGCTGAAAAGTAACTTGCACGGCCCTTAACTTTTCAAACATTTGAGATATTTCAAATCGATTTGCGGCAACCTTCTTAGATATGAGGGGCTACAATAATTATTGTCAATTTTGGAAATTTTGCCCTTAGTGGTAGCGGAGGTTGGGGGTAGCTCAAAATTTTCAAATGACAAGTATAGTCGAGTTTGGTATCATTTTACAGGTCTTCACGAAACATAAGATTTTACATAAAGAAAACCAAAATCGGCTCACTAATAACAAAATGGTGCCCTAAAATGTTTCAAATCCAAATAACCATGAGGGTGGCAAAAAAATTAACTTGCACCATCTTTAAATTTTTTACTATTTGAGATATTTGAAATCAGTTTGCGGCAACTTGTTAAAAAATGAAGGGCTACAATATTTATGGTCAGTTTTGAAAATTTTCAAATAGTAAGTAGTATACTAGAGTTTGGTATCATTTTACAGGTCTTGACGAAACATAACAAATAACATAAAGAAAATAGAAATCGGACCATTAACAAAATGGCAGCTGTACATGATTGAGACAATGGTTATTTAAAGTAATTTTGAACTGCCATTTTGTTTTTAATGGTCCGATTTCTATTTTCTTTGTGTTAATTGTTATGTTTCGTCAAGACCTACAAAATGATACCAAATTCGACTATACTTGCTGTTTGAAAATTTTGAGCTACCCTCTACCCCCGCTACCCCTAAGGGTAAAATTTTCAAAACTGATCATAATTATTGTAGTCCTTTATTTCCAAACAAGTTGCCGCAAACCGATTTCAAATATCTTAAATAGTTAAAAAGTTAAAGAGGGTGCAAGTTAACTTTTTTGCCACCCTCATGGTTTTTTGGATTTGAAACGTTTTAGGGCGCCATTTTGTTATTAGTGAGCCGATTTTGGATTTCTTTATGTCAATGTTTATGTTTCGTCAAGACCTGTATAATGATACCAAACTCGACTATACTAAACTTTGAAAACCCCCTACCCCCGCTACCGCTAAGGGCAAAATTTCCAAAATTGACCATAATAATTATTGTAGGCCCTCATATCTAAAGGCCAAGTCACACCGAGCTCGCTCCCGCGGCGGGAGCGAATTTAGAAAAATCGCTCACCATGTTATCAAATGTGCCAGGTCACACCGCACTACCGCGCGCCCGCGGGCGTGCGGTAGTGTCCGCCACGTCCGCCTGCTCGGCGATTTTTTTAGACTACCGCAGCGGGAGTTTGTCTGGTGCATGCGCAAAGGGTCATCTCGAATGGGCAAGCTATAAAGTTTAAAAGTAATATTCATATTCATATTCTTTATTCATATTTTTGTACAAAGGTGGTACAATGAATAGTGTCAATAAAAGAAATACAATTACAATGATATTAGTAAATATTAACAAGTAAAATAATAACAACAAGTCTTTAGTTAGTCAAGAATGAAATACAAAATTAAAATAACTTAATGCTACCTATGCCAGGGAGGTGGAGAACTCTCCCATAGAATAAATAGCTAAATTTAATATATAATCTTTGAGTAATTTTTTAAACTTATTAAAATCTGTTTTTTTTTTTATATTTTTGGGGATAAATTTTAAAAATCTTTGGCCTGCATTGGACGGTTTTTTTTCATAAAACTTGAGCCTATGAGGTTCAACAACCCCACTTTTTTTCCTAAGCTTATAGTTGTGGCTTGTAATCGGTTTTTCACTCAAATCTTGTTTTCTAGCAATAAGAATAACTTCATATATATATTGTCCATAAACTGTAAAAATTTTTAGATGTGTAAAGTGTTGTTTGGCTGAATCATCCCCCTTAAGCTTGAGCATTATCCTGATAGCTTTTTTTGCTGTTTTAAAATAGAGTCCATATTTCTTTGTTTTGTTGAACCGTATAATGCTATGCCAAATATGGGAATGCACATGGGCAAAATATATATTCTTTAAAGTGTTTATATTGCAATAAAAAGACATTTTTGATAGAGCATAAACTCCAGAATTAATCTTTAGCAGGATCTTTTTAACATGCTCATCCCAATTTAGGTGCTCATCTATCGTTAAACCTAGAAAATTTATACTACTTTCCCGGTTGATGTTTTGTGATTTATATTCTAATGTTGGATCTGAAGATTTTCGGTTTTGTTGTGTTTTAAACGTTATGATCTTAGTTTTTTTCAGAATTTAAAATAAGGTTATGATCATGTAAGTAGTCTCCAATGTTATTAAGTTCATTTGAAGAAAAAATTTGTATCTCCTCCAATGAGTCAGCTGATAAAATTAAATTTGAGTCATCAGCGTAGAGACATAATTTTGAATTTTGTTTATGAATTATCGTATTTTCCATGCCCCTCAAGTAACACAAAAAGAGCAAAGGCCCAAGAATAGAACCTTGAGGCACCCCAAATGTGACTGGTCTATAAGCTGAGTTTGATTTCATTACTTTATTTTTATCGGTTAGATGAGATATTTCTACATATTGAGACCTATTTGTTAAATATGAAGTGAACCAATCAAGAGATCTTCTTGATACTCCCAGAATTTTAAGCTTTTCTAGAAGTTTAGAGTGTTTGACACTATCAAAAGCTTTTGAAAGGTCCATGAATATACCTGTTGTATACTTACCGTGGTCAACTGAGTTGATCACGGTTTCAACAAAAGATACAGCTGCACTGACAACAGATCTCTCCCTTCGGAAGCCATGTTGATTTTCATCCAGCATTCTAAAACTCTCCAAATATTCATAAAATTGTAGATACACAGCTTTTTCATATATTTTGGAAATGGACGGAAGTATAGATAACGGTCGATAATTTGATACATTTGATGTGTCGTTCTTTTTATGTAATGGAATTAATTTTGCTTGCTTTAATTTTTCTGGGAATATTCCTGATACAAATGAAGAATTTATCAAATGGCACAGAATTTTATTAATGTTATTTTTAACACCCTTAATCACTGTGACTGGGATTTCGTCATGGCCACAAGAATACTTGTTTTTTAACGAATTTATGATTCCTTCCACCTCCCTCTCACTTCCTGGTTTAAGTTCAAATTTTTGCCTAATGTACAAGTCATCGCTAAAACTATATGTGGGTACATCACAATTCACAGAATTATTATTACTAGTCAGATCAGTTACAATATTACTGAAATGCTCATTGAACATGTTTGCAATTATATTTGGATCAGACACAATGCCAGAATCTTGCTTTAAAGTTATATTTTGTGATTGTCTCTCATTTTGACCAACTTCAGAGTTAATTATAGACCAAACTGTTCTTTGAATATTAGTGGAATTTTTAATCTTTTTCTGAAAATAATATGTTTTGCTTGGTTTAGTTCAGTTTTATATAATTTGTTTTCTTTGTCTAGATAACATTTTAAACCCCTACTCTTTTTACTCCGATACTCTTTAGTTGTTTCTATTATCTGCTTTTGTTTATCCTTCAGCTCTTTAGATATCCAGGTACATTTCTTCTTTCTTTTTGCAACCAGTAATTTTGGAAAAGCCTGATCAAAATAGAAGGCAAATAATTTGTAGAATACATCATATTTATTTTCAACCTTAGCATAGTACACGTCAGTTCATGTTTCCTGGGAAAGTAGCTTTGAGAAAAGATTTATATTTTCTGATGAGAATTTACGTATTTCTTGTTTTATTGGTAAATTTAAATTTTTTATGTAATTTTGACACTTTATTTTTAGTAACTGGCCATCGTGATCAGATAAAAAAGTAATCAGACCCTCTACCTCTACCCTGGATAAGTTGATATTTTTTATCAAAAAATTGTCTATTGCGGTTTCAGAATTTTCCGTAACTCTTGTTGGGAAACTGACCAGGTACCTCATGTTCTCTGATTTTAGCATCTCTTTAAATAGCCTATGTTTGCGATCATTTTTTAATACATTAATATTTATATCACCTGCAATGATTAGCTTATCACATTTTTTACTTAAATACTTAATTAATATACCTAGTCTATCTACAAAAATATTTACATTTGAGTTGGGTGATCTGTAAATACCAACTACAATAAACTTTTCCTTATTTACATTCCATGAACATGCACGAAACTCAAACTGCTTCTCCTCAAGAATCAAACCAGTTAAGGAAACTGGCAAATTAACTCTCCTCAAATCAAAGCCCTCCCTTGTCAAAATAATAACCCCCCCTTTACTTTTATTTTTCTGGAAAAGTAAGTCCTCGATAAGTAGGATTCAATATTTAGTCGTTTTATTTCCTCCTCTCTCATATCGTGCTCAGTTAGCACAACTATGTGAGGAGTTATCTCACTTAGAATTGCTTGTAAAGAATTTACTCTTGAAGCCAAATGTTGTATATTTTGATGGAAAATAGTTATTGTATTTTTTAAAGACTTAATTACTTTTGCAATTTGTTGTTTTACATTTGTTAAGGTCTAGGTTTGTTTTTTTGCCAGTTTCCCCACCAATTCCACACTTCCCAGTATTAGCAATTGAATTATTTATAAAAAACTATTCTGAGTATGAAAGGTAAAAGATTTATTTCTGGATAGAGACTCACTTAAAGATACCGCATTGAACACAACACTATCACAATTGCTCTGCTTTTGGGTATCACTATTACTCACAACACATAAGCCCTCCTTAACTGCTTCATTATACTGTAGCTCTCCAGGAGCCAAGATGGGATGAAGGGCTGGTGTAGATTGGGGTGTTCCTTGAATAGCACATGTTGGAGCTGTCTCGCTGTTATTTATCTCAACTCTCTTGTTGTTTCCATCTAAGGTAGATGTTGAAGGAGTACCAGAGTGTGTTGACTTGTTGTGAGGTTGAGCAACTGCAGGTGATAAGTTTTGAGCTGCTGGCGGTTGAGGCTTGTCTCCACAGGCAATCAGAGAGGGCGGAGAATCACAAGTTTTAGATTTGATGTGCAACATATATTGTATCTGCCTTGTAAATTCTTCATGCGATAATCCATTTCTTAACCGTCGGAAAGATTTTTGGTAATATGAGACAACCGTGACTGAGGCATTAGTTTCTTGTTGGAATTGTAATAAATTGGACACAAAATGACTCAAATTGACATTATCTCTGACACATCCAATCGGAGAACATATGAGGTGTTTCAGGCCTGTTTTTTTAAAGTGTTGAGTTAGGTCTTGAAAAGCAGCATCGTAATCTTGTTGAGTTGGTTTGCCAAAGTATCTTTCCTTGGTGATCAAACTGTATACTGAAGCACCATTTTCCTTGTTCTGTATTGCCAGGTGGTTGGTAATGCATTGTGAAACTGTTGGTTTACCAAACTGTGATTTAAATACTACTGCCACCCCTGCAGACATATGGCGTGGATCATTGAAATCACTAGAAATACTGTGTGCAAATCCAACACTGCTATCGTTCTTGTGTTGCTTGATCACCCTTTCCATGTGAGTTTCTATTACATTTATTGTATTTGAGGTAGGTAACAAAAATCCTTGCTTTTCAGCATGTGGTATTAATTTTCCATCAACAGTGCTTAGAGCAAAATCAATGATCATGTAAGCCAGCCTTTTTTTACCTCTGTAGTTATGCATTCCATGCCGTGAAAAATCATCTCTTTGGAAACAGTCAAAATCAATGAGTTTAACATTAACCAGTCTTGCAGAAATTTCTCTGATATAGTTATTTGCCAATGCTATATCATAATGAATGTTGTCATTGGGCTGCAGATCGAATCTGGGAATACAGATTAATACAGTTTGAAAGTAAATTTAACATGTTTCTTTTGTTTGATGATGTGTGTTGTTTTGTATTATCTTCGTAGTTTGTTAATCACCAGAAAAAATAATTTTTGTTTGCCATGCAAAAATATTGTTTTCAGTACAAATTTATTGTTTCCTATCAATTTTTTATATTGTCGACGTAAACAAACATTTTTTATTGTTTCATCAACTGTTTCAACTTGCAACAACCAAAACTATACAATCAGCGTAAACTTGATTTTTAAATATAAGGTTTAGCAAACAAATTACATTAGTTTTAAAATGAAATGGTCGTCTGTTTTTATATAAAAAGTAAATAGTCTTTGTAGTGTAGCGAAAAATAATGCTCAAAACACTGAAAGTGGATAATTTATTCTCAATGGTTGAACTTCCAACATAAGGTCCAAATTAAATAAAAAAAATAATTACAGATCACTTTTTAATGTACGCTAACGAAAAAATAAACGCATTCAATGCTTCTTAAACACTTAAAAAACCAGAAAACTTACATGTCATACCAAACAGGTAAAACAGCCCACATAGAAAATTTATATTGAAAATATATAAAAAAAAATATATTTGAAATATAAAGCTATATATTTGCTAATATATATTGTCAATATATTTTAAATATGCAAATTATGGGACCGAGTAATATATTCAGTTATATTTCATTTGTGGTATTTATATATAAATTATATATTTCAAATGTGTTTTTATAATATATTTTAAATATGGAAAAGGGCTAGTATATTAAAAATATATTTAATATAATGTATTTCAAATATATTAATAATATATAAAGCTTTTTAAACAGTGTTTGTGAGTCGCAAAAGCGACGCATAACACCGCGGTGGTGTGTTATGAGTCGCTTTTACGACGCTTAACATTCGGCGGGTTGAACAAAACCAGGCCTATAATTTAGGACTACTTAGACAGCTCTTTTATGGACAAATGTTATGCTTTTAATTGAGAGAAGCTTTATCCAAATGTATTATCGTAGTATTTTAGGTTTACTAATTACACAGATTTGCTTCATTCGGGATGTAGGCCGGCCTGATATCGTTACTATAGTAGTAAAAATTCAGACTCGCGCACATATTTACAAAATAGGCTAGAATGCTGTTTGTAAAAATAGATTGAATAATTATTTTTTATTGGTAAATGTACCGTATATATTCTAATTTATAAACAGTTGATCCACTCACCGTAAAATCGTGCAACTAGGCCGTATCCAAATTACTAACACTCATGTTTTGAGGTTAGGTCCAAATTAGCACTCATTTTTATTGACTTGCCTAATAATTACACATATTTAAACACTAGACAATTTCCCTTATACTCTTTCTTGTTTCTTCAGCAAACATTCTACAGATACGCATATTAGGCATATTGCCCTAAGCTAGAATCGTGCAACTAGGCCGTAAACTAAATGACTAACACTCATTTTTTGAGGTTAGGTCCAAATTAGCACTAATTTTTGTTGCCTGGCCTAATAATCACACACACATTTAAACACAAGACACTTTCATGCATACTCTTTCTTATTTCTCCAGCGAAAATCCTGTAGATACGCATATATCTGTTAAGTCAACAACATATAACCTACGGACGCAGTCCTACACCCACCTATTGCCGGCACAACACTGCTCAACTGAACATAATTAAAACAATATGGCCGCATATATATGTGGAATATATTTATAATATAAATCTATTTTGTATTAGAAATGTAAATGTTAAAATATATTTTTAATATATTGAACAAATACATTTAAAATATAAATGTAAAACGTTGAATACTCTTAAACTATATTTAAAATATATTTAAATATTATATGAAATATATTTACAAAGATATATTATAAATATAACATACAATATACACTTTAAATATATTTTAATAAATATATTCAAAATGTATTATGAGAAATACGATTAATTTATAATAAACTTATATTCGATTTATATTTAAAATACATTATAATATATGTTCTAAAGTATAAAATTTATACATAATGCCAACTATTTTCTTTGTATATTTATACTATATTAGGAATATAGAATGGAATTATATATTTGTACAACTATATATATTAACTATATTTTGAGAAATTTTTATATATTGAAATATATTCTTAATATATTTTCATGAATAATTCTTTTATGTGGGAGGTAAGATGTGTTACTTATGTAAAACGAATTGTAATGAAATAATCTCAAAACTCCCGCCGCGGACGCGAACTTTTGGTGTGACATGGCTCGAGGAAAAACGTCCGCGCGCGGTACTCCCGCGGCGGGAGCGGCGGATGTCGGTGTGACATGGCCTTAAGAAGGTTGCTGCGAACCGATTTCAAATAGCTCAAATGGTTGAAAAGTTAAGGGGGGGGGGTGCAAGTTACTTTTCAGCCACACTGTATATCCACTCTACTTTTATCCGTTCAAGTCAAAATCATTATAGAGAGTGAATAAAGAGTCAAGACCCTCCATATAATATTTTTCTAAATAAATATACAGAGATCTCCTTTTGGTGGTCGTGCAATCTTAGCTGGAAGTTTCATTTTTTGATTTTGAAAATGTCGAGTGTCCCCCAAAATGGGGGATTTTCGGGACAACTCAAAATGTTTGAATGTAAAACCTCTTAAAGTGACACCCCATTTTGAAGCGTTTACAAAAACTAATTGTGAAAAACAAAATTCGCTATCTCTTCTCCATCCAAAATGGTATACAGTACCGTCAAATTTATTGAAGTCTACAAATTAAAAAGATAAGAAAAATCAATGTAATGGTAATATTGGCTACTATTTTGGATAGAGAATAGATACCGAACTCTGGTTTTCGACATTCTTTATGTTGTTATAAACAGTTCAAAATAAGGTGTCACTTGAAGGGGGTTTACATTTTAACGTTTTTATTTGCCCCCAACACAATTTTTTTGGGAGGGGGGACACTCACTGGACATGAATTAGACACGAAAAACGATAGACACATAATCATAAAGTAAAAATAAAATCATGTCCCTGTAGTGTTGCAGGTTTCAATAGTCCAGTGTTGTACACCTTGACGTATGTTTGTGTATTTTGTCGTCTCTAGTGTTGTAGTCTGTCCCTTGCTACATCACCCATTCACTACAAGGGTCAAGTCTTTACACCTCGTCTTACACAACTGCGCACCTCTCACTGAATAACGGGCTCGGGTGTGAGAAATTGTCAATGGTGTTCTTCATTTTTTCTCCTGCGGTGATTTTCAATCAGTTTTCACGACTTGATACTGTTTCGTCTGCTTCGTTTGTGTGACGAATCTACTGTATCCATGTGTGTTTTTTGCAATATGAAATATCCTATTGTACTCCCTTGTGTTTAGTTATTTGTTCTGGGTTTAGCATTGTTGGTTATTTTGTTTGTCATTATAGTGGGGTTCCTTGTTGGTTCAGCATTATTGGGATTTGTTAAGTGCACGTCATTAATGTTTTTCATTGTTCAAGGGATTTGTGTGTTGGCACCCATTTATGGTCCATTGAAATGGATATAAAGATTTGACAGCTGTTGAGATGTTATGTTTGTATTCAAGTTCAAGTTTACCTAATGAGCCGTATTAATAAAGATGAGGTAAACCTTTTACTTGCGAAAATTCGAGCAAATCCTTCAATCTGTATTAATAAAAACTAAAGCAAAACCTTTTGCTTTAGAAGTAAAAGGTAATGTATAGAAATTTGAGGTTTTGCTCATGACTTGAGTAAATGGTTATTAATAAAACTCACTATTTACTTTTTCTTTGAAGTAAATCCTTCAAAAATGATGCATCTGATCAGTAGCAGATTATACGTTTAAGTAAAAGGTGTGTGGTAGTTTTAGTGTGGTGCTAAATTTTAGCGAATTTCCTAAATAAGGCAAAAGCTATTCCGTAGGTCTCATGGTAAGACCTAGACCCATGACCCATTTACTTTTCCGTTTTCAGGTCCCCAGAGGCCAAAAACCTCCTCCGTTCAAATTCATATACATGTTTGCCCGTTAGCACGATAGCTCGAGCAAAGGTGATCCGATTTTGATTAAATTTGGTGCAAACGTGTAAACCTACGTTTATTCTAAGGGATTCGCGAATCAGCATAATAGGATATGGAAACGATGGTTTATGAGCGGTTTTATAGGGTAATTGGATTTTAACATTTTTTACCCTAAAAACATAGATTTTAGCAA